AAAATGCCAACTATTCCCCTAGAAACAGAGAGATTGTCTCCTTTTGTAGGAAAAACTGGCTTCGTGTTCCTCCTCAAAATGTCATTATACAAAGGCGTCAGACAAAGGGGCATTTAGCTACTACTGTCTCTCTGCTTTTCCATAGGGGATGGCTCACTGGTGGAAAGAGTTGAAAATGGCTCTATTTATAATGGTAAATCTGCTTATAGATCATGTTTTATTTCAATTTCTCATCTAGACCTCATTACACGGGCATGTGAATGGAAATAAGCATCTGGGTTTTAAAAGATAGGACATTTAGTCCTGGGAGCATTTGGCCAGTCCCACTCAGACTCTGTGGAACCACGTCTATGGCTCCTTGGAGGGAAATTCCATCTCTTCTTCCTTCCAAGGTAGTTTAGCAGGGCAAGATGGTGCCATCCTTTCCTTGTATTTCAACTACAAACTCATTTAATTCCCCTTCATGGTGATTACCAATAATGATAATGTGGGCACCCTTGAGCACAGTGTGTGATGGAGACCGATACAGTCTGTCTGGGCAATTGGCAGGGCAAATGCCTCAGGTCCAGGCAGCATCTATGGACTTTTACAGAACATGGGATGGGAGAACAACAGACTCTCCGTCCCCTGTGGTGCTTCAGGCAGGATGAACACCCCTAGGATGCTTGGGACATTAGTGCCCTTTGCAACTGAGGAGAGTCCTGTGAAAACTGGGTGAGTCCAAGGTGAGAAGATGGGAGGCTCGAGGGGTATCAGAGCCCTCACATCTTTCTGTGGTGCTTTGGAAATCTTTTTAGAGCATTCTGGAAAATGCTTTCTCATGTTCCATAAAAGTGTCACCAATTATTGATTGTGGCTTCCTCTTGGGTGTGGGGAAGCTCTCAGTTCTCTGAGAACAGTGCTAGTCTCAGCCTTTACACAGTGCAGAGAGCCTCAGATGTCTCCGCTCTTCCATCTCCTTCTTATTAACTCTGCCACTCCAGTGGCTTCCTAGAGAATGGCTCTACCCTAGGTGTTAGGGTGTCCTGAGAGGCATAGATTAAGGTGTGGTTACCAAGGAAGCCTCACAGAGCTTTAGGGAAGGGAGAAAAGTCTCTCAGGACAAGTTCGGAGGATCCCAGAGCCTCCAGGACACATGGTAGGGACATGGTGGCCTCCTTTGGCCCAGCCAAAGTTGCTCTTCTATTCCAAACATCATCACAGGCTTATTGATTGCTGAGATGTGTTTTAGAAAGCACCAGGAATCAGGCAATTAGTTCCTGCTTAATGCTGAATGTCAAAACAGGGCCACGGATTCTCTAATTGATCAACAGATTCATTATTTCCCTGCATGGATAGATGTGGACGCAGGCCAATGGGAGTAATAAAGTAGAAGAAAAATTTGAGGATGTAGAGCCAGAGATTTATTAGCCCCTCCCAAGAAGTACATTGTTTATCCATTTATTTCCCAGTAATTGCTTGTTTATTAAGGTAGCCACTCAAAGAGAAAGCCTACAGCAGGGATTGTCAATAACGAAGGGGGCCATGTGTTTACTGTAAGTAGGTGGTATTGTGTTCCAGTTATTAGAGCTCCTCGATCATAAAAAGGCAGAGTGAGAGAGCCTGGGGCATCAACAAAATATGGCCATCATTCATTAGGAAAGGGAATGTCACTGGGGCCTTGTGGGCTTTAAGAGGAAGCTGCTTCAGAGTAGGGGAGTTAGTTACCAAGTGAGATAACTTTCCTCTTTGGAGCCAGTGTCCTCGGAAGATAGTAGGTTACACCACAGAGATCAGGCATTTCAGATTTCCCATACACTTTTCCCTGCTACTAGTGATCTGCATTAATAGCTGTTTGACCTTGTTGGGTCCATTTCTTAGCATCCCTGATTTGAGAGGTAAAATAGTGAAGAGAGGCTAAGCTGTTAATATTGACTTAGCAGTTAAAATGATTGACTCTGCCATCTTCTTAGCTGTGGGACCTTGAGCAAGTTACTTCACCTCTCTGTGGCTTGGTTCTTCTTGCAGTCAAATGTGGGGATCATGTGGATGAAGCAGGAGTGGTTGATGGCCAGACCTAGATGGTCCTCGCCCCAGGGAAGCTATGCACAGGTGGGCAATGGTTGTGGATACCTCTTCATCTCATGTATCTGGTTTTTCTCTCTAGAAGCCTGAGGCCCTGGTAGTAGATGGCTTGCTTGCTCCCTTTCCTCCCAGCGAGAGAATTACTACTGGAGTTCATGCCCTGGGGACAAACCTCAAGCCATGGGGATGGGAGTCAGTCCTGGATAAACATTCCAGCTCCTCCAACCTCTGGTGGAGTAATTTGGAACAGCATCTTTTCAAGTTCCCCAGTAGGACTGAGCCCACTTGCCAACAGCAAGGACCTAACCATTATTAGGTTTTCTGTCTTCAGTGTCTCATGTACCTTCTCATTCGTTCATCCCTACTTACTTCCCTAAGTTGCTCCCTGTGCACCAGTCCTTATCTCAAGGGCCTACTTAGGGGGAACCCAAGTTAAGGTGTATTTGAAAGCACTTAACAACAGTGCCTGGCACATGGCAACCACTGAGGCAGGAGATTAGGACATGCCAAACTGGCTGGCCAAGTGGTTGTAACCTGTCAGTCACAGAGATCCAGGAGACATATCCTAAAGCTCTATACTTAGAATTGATCAGACAGTGTTTATCTTCAATTCTTCTCCAAGAAATTAAGCAGGTTTCTGATAAGACAGCCCAGACCTGACATCACCCTGAGGAGCAGGAGACAAAGGACAGCAACCATTAACTGTGTGATCACTATGCTTCTCTTTCACAGTGGTCCGCTTGTATCTTGCAGAGTGCACTCCTTTTCCTACTTTTAGTTGAGCTACACTCACTCCTTTCCTACCTTTAATGGCTGTAAAACCTCAATATATTTTGGCTTGCCTTTTCTAATTTGTTGTTCAAGATGAGAAGAAACTGGAAAGAATCTCTAGACAGAGTCCCCAGAACCCAGCAACACTAGTACATTTTAGCAGTTCATCAGCTCTACTTTGAAGATGTGGAAGATTACATCATTATATAGTCCTTACCATAGTGTCAGACGTGTAGGCACTAAACAAACATCCCTGCTTACCATTCCCCTCTAGCTCAGTCCCCCTAGCTCCTTAGCCTGTCCTTAGAAAACCTGATATTAAGCAACTATAGGGTCGAGTGTTGCTATAAGTTTTATGCTTGATGAGAATAATGCTTTGATCAAGTACTGACAAAGGTAAAGTACAACATGTATAAGCAAGGGTAAGGAATGCACAGGTATTTAATCTTAACTGTCCACAGTGTAAGCAGCACAGAATCACTTATGGAAGATGGTTAACACTGTGCAGGGAAGAAAAATCTCTGCATCGTCATTGACCTTCTAATGTCAAGCCTTGGGCTCAGGATCATTGACCGTGATTATTTGCTCTCATGCCCTGGTCTCTCAGCTTCTCTCTGTGGCATTTCTGATAACCTCTAAACAAATCTGGAGTTAGCTGTGTGACCAAGGCAGAAGACCAATTAAGAAGAGAAAAAGGAAGAGGGGACTAATTTCTTGAGCCCAGTAAATGCTTTGATAACTAGTTTAAAAGCTTCTCTTTGCATCACAACACTCCACTGTGCATCATTCATCCTCATAGTGGCCTTCAAAGAGAGACATTTCAACTTCATCTTATAGATAAGGAAGCCCTGGCATACAGAACTGACTTTCCTTTGAGGTCAGGTCATGACACTTTATTGCATGACACTTTATTGCTTCAAACCACTCAGTGAATATTTTTAGCTGTCCCAATCTTGTAGATGAGGAAGCTAAGTCTGAAGAAGGTTGAATTACATGTCTGCAACTACACTACTAGCAAGTGGTAGATCTGGAGTTAGTGGCCATTTCCTAACTCCCTCTCATGAAGATACCTCAGAGAGGGGTAGTCCAGTTTTCCTCCCTTTGAATCTGGGATGGCTTTAGTGACTTGCTTGGCTAACAGAATTTGGTGAAAATGGTGCTATGATTCCCCAAGCTGGGTCACAGCCAGCTTTGCCACTTCTGCTGGCCATCACGGGAACCCTAAATACTGCAAGTAGAGCATTCAGCATCTGTTGAATACTTCTGGTTGATCCCAGCCTTCCAGCTACCCTTGAAAATCACCAAATTTTGAGTGAAGCTGTCTAGGGCCTCTCAGCCTAAGTCTTCCAGACTATTTCCCTCTATTCCAGCTGCTGATTGCTGAGCTTTCCCTTCCTTCACATGAAGAAACAAAGGCATCTTGTTCCATAAAAAATAGGAAACCTTAGGACTGGATCTGTGGTGTGAAGAGGAAGACTACACCAGGCCCTTTGTCTGCACCACACAGATCTTCTTGGCTTCTTTTATGTCTAGTTTCAGCCCCGGTGTGGCAGCCGTTTCTTCACGACCCCCCATCAGCTTCATGCAATCTGAAATTGCCGGCCTCATCTACGGGCTCTTTCCTTCTCTGCCAGGCTTTCTCTGGCATAGTTTTAAGTATATCTGCTGCCAAAGTGAGCACTCTCTGGCATCTTTGTTTTCTCGATTTTGTGACTATTTTCACTTGAAGTTTTGTTCTCAGAAATGCATAATGAATAATGCATGTGCACAGTTGTATGTCAAAAACCACTTGGTATATATGACCTTTTGTAAAAAACATTCAAATCGTCTAGAAAAGTTGGAAGAAATAACCTCTAATTCCATGGTTCAGAAATGTATTAGTCAGCTCTCCCATTACTGAGATACCATACCTGATACCCACAATTTGAGGGTGGGGAGGTATAATTTGGCTCACGGTGCTGAGGATTTAGTCCACGTGTGATTGGCTGGCTCCAAGGCAGAAACATCAGGGTAGAAGGGCTTGGCAGAGAAAGCTGCTCACCTCACGGCAGCCAGAAGGTGGAGAGAGAAGAGAGGACCCTTGGAGGGATCTCTGGCCTGCCCCCAGCAACATACTTCTTTCAACTGTGTTCTACCTTCTCACAGCACATGGGCTCACCAGTGGGTCAGTTCACTAAAGAGGACAGCATCCCCATAATCTGATCACCTCCTAAACACATGAGACTTTGGGACTGGAGGTATTCCATACCTAAACTATAACAAGAGGTAAGTGAGATGGGTTGCTTTTGTTCATTATTCTTCCAAGCATTGTATTTCTTTTTTCTCTCTCTAGCCTCTGGAATTTTATGTAAATGGGGTGGTGTTATTTAAAACATTAAGTAATGATTATCTTTGTAAATTAATAAATTGATATTCAATATGATAATTTTTACTGATTTATTTCATTTATGTGTATATAGCAATTCATGTAAGCTGTTCATAAGCAGATATGTAGGGCACAAATATTTTTGTGCATTTTTCTCCTTAGACGCAGACCCAATTCCTTGTAGTGGATTTTCTAGGCCAAGAATATTTGTGTTTTCCAAATATATATATATTTGTGTTTTTTTTTTTAAAGTGGTTCTAGGGATTGAACACAAAGCCTTCACACTGAGCTATAACCCCGGCCCTTTTTTGTTTTATTTTTTTGTCTTCTCTTTTTTGTACATTTTAAAATTTTAGTTTATTAGAGCATGTGTGTAGTGCATAATATTTGTGGTCATGTGAGAAGTTGGCTCATGTGAGTAACACATTTTCATTCCTTTTCTCGTCCCCTCTCCCTCCCTCCCCTGCACACGTCTCTTGATCCCCTTCTTTTTTGGGGTACACGTTTGCAGTGCATAATGTTTACATTCTTTATGTTTTATTTTGAGATGGGATCTCAAAAAGTTGCTAAGTTGCCAGGCTGGCTTTGAATTTGACTGGATTTGAATCATCCTACTTCAGCCCTCCAGAGTGCTGGAATGACAGGCTTGTGCCACCATGCCCTCCCAGTGTTATAATTTGACATAATTGGTGAACTCTTCAGAAGGATGTAACAGTCTACTATATTTCCATGTGGTCAATGTAACCTTTAGGTCATATTTTTATCTGTACTTATCTGTACTTATTTATCATCTTTAGAAATTTTTACTAGTTTAATTAGTGAAGAATTCTTCATTTTTAGTAGGCATGTTTTTGATTGCCAGTGACATTGGAGTTATATTATTCTTATTTCCATTGGCTATTTGTAATTTTTATCTGTGTTGCTTATGGATATCATATGGCTATTACATATTTTTCTTACTTATAATTGTTCTCAAGTAAAAGAATATTAACCCTTTAGCACTTAGGTTATTATTTTTCTCTGTGTTTCTTCAACCTTGTTTATAAGTGAGAATTGTTTTCTGTTTTATTTTACTTATACTATACAAAAGTTTAAGGTATGTATAACTTTTATAATGTATGTATATATTTTTATTAAGAAATCAGAAAGATTAAGGGTAAAAAACATTTTAATTAATACTATGTTCTACTTAGTTTCATAGTGTTTTTTATGTTGAAAGCTTATTTGAAAGAGAAAAAAAAACAATGAAAACCATGATACAGAATTTTAAATCAAGATAATAGGATATTAACAATGGTTAATATATTGCATACTGTTATCTTCAAAGTAGTTGCTCAGGTTACAAAATATAGGCATGCAAGATTGATCTAACAAGATAAGCACAAACCATTCCCTTCAATGAACTAAAAGAAATTAGTAGTATAACTATCTTAGCTATCTTGTGTGTGTGCATATATATATATATATATATTTTTTTTTTTCTTTTCCCTTTCTTCTTTTCTCCTTCCCCTATCCCAGTGGTTCTTTCCTTTTGGACACTTTCTTTCTCTTTCACAGTATCTATTGTAGATTTTGGATCTTATTTACTCTTTCAGTTTCTTACACTAGAGAAACAATACAGTGTTTACACATATGAGTCTGATTTCTTTCACTTATGAGTATGGTTTTTAGTTGCATCAATTTACCTAAAGGCAATCCTGGGCAACAAAAGAAAGGCAGGAAGCACCACAATCCTTGACTTGAAATTATACTATAAAACTACTGTGATAAAATCAGCATGGCACTGGCAAAAAACCAGACCTGAGAATCAATGTAACAGATCAGCCACAACTACAAACACACTCAACACCTTATCTTGACAAAAGGGCCAAACATGTTCACTGGAAGAAAGCTAGCCTCTTTAATAAATAGTGCTGGGAAAACTGGCTTCCTACATGCCAAAGACTAAAACTAGACCTATGTCTATTACCATGTACTAAAATGAAGTTTAAATGGATCAAAGATCTAAATATTAAAACAGAAACACTAAATATACTGGAAGAGAAAGTAGGTAGAAATCTTGAAGACATAGGGGTAGGCAGAGAGTTTATGAACAAAACCAAACTGCAAGGGAAATACTTCAAAGAATCAAAAACTGGGGTCTCACCTTATTGAAAACTTTTTACTCATCTGAAATGTACTTTGTAGGAGGAAATGTGGCAGGGAGGCAGCTTTTTTCCTCAGTTCTGTGGTCTTCCCACCCCCACTGTGCTATGTTCCTAACCCTTTCACAGACCTGGCTCTGTGGAGTCCCTCCTCCACAGTCTCTCCCCGTGAGACACACAGTTCAGACAAGGTAAGCGTGACTATGTTCCAGCGATTCCCAGCCTCATCTCAAGCCCTTCCAATGCCCATAGATCTTCGGGCACCAGAGGTCTTTGAAAAAGCTCCTGTAACAACTCTTGGACCAGCTTTAGTGGCTCTCTTCTGTGTTTCAAGTTCCCTTTGAAATCTGTGGGGATGGACAACGTGTGCATAACTCAGATATGGAAGTGTTCAAGGCTGGGTATTAGCTGAGGAGAAAAAAGAATGAGAGATTTTCCAGAAAAACTTTAGACAGACTGGAGTGACAGAAATATTTATGGGCTAATGACAAACAGAGAAAAATAAATGTGCTGAGACTTCAGAATGCTAAACAACGAACCTCAAGTATTTTTTGCTTGGTTTATAAAGATTTCTAAACTGTAGGTGAGGTCATAAGCCCTCTGCTCCTTCCCAGCCCTCCTTAGAGCACCTAAGATTACCGGGGAGGGGAGATGGAGACTCCTGTAGGACAGTCCCCTGACTTCAGGCTTTACTTCCTCAGCAACCATGTTGCCTGTTTTCTGTCCAGGAACATGTCCCTCCTCTTCCTCACCTCTTCCTACTGGATCTTTTCCTGCAGGAAATAAACACACAATCTCCTCTTACCTGCTGTGTTACTCTCTAGAATTTCAGTTACTGTCATCCAAAAATACTAATATTTGTCTTGATTCTTTCCAGAGACAGACCATATTCACAAAAACTTCAGCAAAATATTTGTTATAGCTGTTCTGTGTTATTATTACTTACTATTATTGACTTCTTCCTTTGCCTAATTTGTAAGTGAAACCTTGCCATGAGTATATGTGTATAGAAAACAATAATAGTACATCTACATTCTGACATTATCTGCAGCTTTAGGCATCCCCTGGGGGTCTTGGAATATGTCCCCAGTGAATTTCTACTGCTTTCCCTGTGTTCCCTCCTCCCCTCCATCTGAACCTTATCCCTTCCTCACCTTCACAACCAAATTGTCCTACTTGCTCTCAGCCCCTTGCAGCTGGCTCTACCACCTGTGCTATCCTGGGGTCATTCACGTGGCCTCTCACTACTCACTGAGCACTGCCGGTCCTCAGAGCTTACTTAATGTACTTATTGGACATTTGGTATTCTTCACTGTTTTCTCTTTTTTAGATCTTTTGGCTGTCTGGATCCTCTGAGAGCATCATCTCCAAAGAATGGCCCAAAGGGTTGCTTGTCCAGCACCTTCACTGTGTCCTGTTTTGCTCCAAATGTCACTCAAAAGTAGCTGCTCTGCATGTCCCTGCTGCCTTCCCTCTGGCAAGATTCTGTCCTGGGTTCTGATGTTTTTCTTCATACTTTATATTTCCTGTAATCCATCTTTCTGAAAACTATTACTTTCAGGAAAAAAATCTAGTAACATGACTCCCAAACTTCTGTCATCAGGGTTTTTCTCCTGAGGTCCAGAACTGTTCTTTTTCCTGTAGTTTAATGGTTACGTTCATCAATCTCCAGTTGTGGACACTTGCAACTTAAAGGAGGAGTGGTTTATTTGGCTCACAGTTCTTTTGGTCCAGTACATGGCACCAAGGCAGAAACAGCATGGGGAAAATGCATGGCAGAGGACAGCTGCTCATCTGCAGCAACTAGGAAGCAGAGAGGAGGTGGAGGAACCAGACACAAGAAAACGGTGACACCCTTTCCTCTGCCCTCTCCTTCCCTCCACTCCCAGTGACCTGCTCCTCCAACCAGGCCCCACCTCCTAACAATGCTTGAACTCATCATTGGTCCACTATGAGTGAGTACACCCACGATTCAATCACCTCTCCAAAGCCCCATGTCTGAACAGGTGATACCTTTGGGGAACATTTTAGATTTAAACCATAACAATAACCATCTCTAAGTGATTAACACAAAACCACTGCCTCAACTTACGTACAACAGATATTTGACCCATATGTATTTCCATGTCTCAGTCAAGAGCTTGCATATCCTACCTATGTTATTCCCACATTATTTCTTTCAACACCTCCTGTTGCCAAGCAGTTTAAATCTCATGAATTCTCCCTCATCCCATCACCATCATCCATCTCTTTCTCCCAATTACTTCTACAAAAGGGGGCCCTGGCCACCTTGTCAGACCTTCAAGTTAGTGCCTTGACGGATGGATGTCCTTCTTCAGTGTGGTCCATTGCTGAGGGATGATTTTAAAACAAAGATCCAAGGGTGGCAATGTCCTATCAAGTGGCCTCCCATTTCTACCAAGCACATGTCCCTTGTCCACTTTCTGGTCCATGCTCCTTGTCCACTGCACTGTTCCAGTCTCATCTCACTGTGTCCTTCACAAGATCCTGAGATTCAGTTGGTCAGAGCCAGAAGTGCTTATTAGTCAGTCACAGCTTATCCAGGGCTTATCACCTAGGAATCTAGATAAGCAATCCTGCTGTGTGTACCTATGCCAGCACAATTCCGAAGAACATGAAAACCAAAAAACAGGTCACAGATAGAATTTTAAATTTTTTATTAACCATTTTAAAACAGCAAGAAGAAATAGGTGAAAGTGTTTTTAATAATGTATTTGAACCAGCACATCCAAAAT